CCCTAATAATATACGTGGATGACATGATTATCACAGGGAATGATTCGGGAGAAATAGCAACACTGCAGAAGCAATTGGCATCCGAGTTCGAGATGAAGAACTTAGGTGGGCTAAAGTACTTTATAGGGATTGAAGTTGCTAGATCAAAGGAAGGTATATTTTTATCCCAACGGAAGTACACCTTGGATTTACTCTCCGAAGTAGGACAGTTGGAGTGCAAACCGGTAGACACACCTATCGTTCAGAACCATAGACTTGGAGAATACCCAGACCAAGTACCTACCAATAAGGAGAGATACCAAAGGCTGGTGGGTAAACTCATTTACCTTTCCCATACTTGCCCAGACATCGCCTACGTCGTCAGCGTAGTGAGTCAGTTCATGCACTGCCCAACCGAAGATCACATGAATGCTGTAATGCGGATTCTTCGATACTTGAAGTCCTCACCCGGAAAAGGACTCATGTTCTCAAAAAATGATCATCTGAAGATAGAAGGGTACACAGATGCAGACTGGGCCGAAAATGTCTCTGATAGAAAATCCACCTCGGGGTACTTTACATTCGTCGGAGGAAATCTAGTTACATGGAGGAGTAAGAAATAGAAGGTCGTGACCCTATCAAGTGCTAAAGCCGAGTTTCGAGGAATGGCTAAAGGGCTGTGCAAGCTACTCTGGCTGAGAAGACTGATGACTGAAATTGGTTTTCCCCCAACCTCTGCAATGGACCTATTCTGCGACAACAAGGCTGCCATTGACATCTTTCAGAATCCCGTCCAACATGATCGAACAAAGCATGTGGAGGTGGACCGACATTTCATCAAACAAAATATCGAAGACAAAACCATTCGATTTCCCTTTGTCAAATCTGAAGACCACCTGGCAGATATACTTACAAAGGCTGTATCCAGTAAAAACTTCTACAACTCACTTGGCAAGTTGGGTGTCCAAGATCTGTATGCACCAACGTGAGGGGGAGTATTGGCGTGAGTTGTAAAACTAGGGGATATCCTTTGAATTCAGGGATAAATCTCAGCCTAAGTTGTATGTAACTAGGAGAGGTAGAACTAGAATCTATGTATAATTATGAAATGTTTGTATTATGAGTATATATATTTCTCAACCCGTGCAAAGGAAAATAATAAGAAGAACAGAGGAAAAGTTTCTCATTCTACTCGAGTTATCAAATACTACCGTAAGGGCACATGCAAATTCAAACTCCCACTGTAAGGGGATTCATAGGTTAATCAACATTAAACACTTCATTTTGAGAGGGCCTTACTGCACTCAACCAACCAAAATGGAAGGAAACAGAGTAAAATGTCGGTGGTGGAGCACCGTTCCACTATGCTCGAGTGTTTGCCGTCGATAAAGTGCTACGGACATTGCAACTAATAGGGATTCCGATCTCCGGTACGCTGCAGATGATCGGAATGCATGAGGAGGGTTGAAGGGTTGATCGTTGAGGTTGGCCAAGAACGTCGAGGAATAACGAAACAAAAGCTTTGGGAAGGCTTCCGTCAGCGCGTAAGAGTGCAAAGAGCTGGAGAAGGCTTCGCACAGGTGGCAAACAGAAAGCTAAAGCTTAAGGAAGGCTTCCGTCAATGAGTTAGAGTGCAGAGAGCTGGAAAAGGCTTCGCACGGGCGGGGAAGAAGATACTCAGAGAAACGGTCCAAAACTGGGTAAGAAGTTGCTATTTCTCGCTTGAGGGGTATAATGGTAAATATTGGCATCAATAAGTGATGACGTGTGAGGCGGGTGGAGTTAGAAATAAATATGCATTTAGTAGCTTGGGATGACGGGGGGTTTTGTAATCCCTACAGGCTACAAGGCTATTTGGCATTTCCGTTTCTACCATAAACCTGCCGATAACAACCCCATGTTTATATTCTAAATTTGTTTAATTTTAGTAATCATCATTTTGATAGTTTCAGAAATATGAACACAGTTTAAGAACTTTTTTTTTATGTGACAATTTCAAAATCAAATAAAAAAACAAAAATATTCATTTCTAAAACATGGAAAATATTGAACTCATTCCCAGTTAGGGGTGCAAATTGAGTGGTTTGGGTCGTGTTTTAGCTCAGCCTATATTCAACCCTTAGAATTGGGCCTAAACGAGTTTGAGGTCAAATCAAACTATTTGACCCAAGCTCAATTTGTATTAAAATTTGGTGCACTTGAATTTAGTTCAAACCTAGGTTAAACTTTAGTGTTGGTCAATCACCCTGCATTAAAAATTGGTATTGTTTATATAAAAAAAGATATGCATATATGAATGTATGCATGCAAATATGTGTCTAATACTATATATATATATATAAACATGTCGATAAAAAATGTATATACACGTATATAATTAAGTCAAACTCAAGTTTAAATAAGGTTAGGCTGGATTTGAGCCCAAACTCAACTCGAGGACAAAAGTTTAAGACTGGCTCAATCCAAAGTTAGTTTGAATCCACCCAAGTTATACCTCTAAACTATTTGTCGTGTCAACCAAAGCCATTTTATACACCGACTTTTGAGTTTAGGGTTTTAAACTTTAAAGTTTAGATTTTAGGATTAAAGTTCAAGGGTTTAAGATTAAAAATAAAAAATTTATATTTAAGATTTAAGATATAAAGTTTAATTTTAGGTTTAAATCTGAAAATTAAGAGATAATAGGAGCCAAGTATTGCCCGTAAAAACACCCACTTGTCGTGATGCAACGTGCCACCGTGGGAATGTAGGACTAGTTTAATTGGATCGATCGTATTGAAATATGTGATATGAACAGTTGTGGGCCCTTGGATATTTCACTCATCTACTAGCCATAAACTTCAGACATCGCCAAAAATCGAGGATCAATTCAAAAGGCATCCACATAGACTATTGGGTGGACCCTACCTACACTCTAAACTTTGTGCTTTCTCATCATCCATCGTCCATATAATACAGCACGGAAAGTCAAAATGATAGGTCCACCATATTGATCTCGACCATCCAGTTGATGGACTTTTATGAATTAGCCCACAGGATTAGGGTCCAAAACAGAAAGTCCGCCCAACAATGTGTAGTCTCCTCTCTTTTGGTATTTTCCCTAAGCATTGTCCTTCCTTTCTGTTTTTCGCTTTTTTACGCTTTAATGCGTTCCCATGGTTTGGTAAATTTCCAAAAAAGTCCCTCCTTTGGACTTCACGTTCCAACTCCACATATAATCGCACAAAACTTAATTTCGATCAGGCCCTCCTCCTTTCATTTCCCGCATTCCTCTCTCCCTTCTGCCCTAATTTCGAAAAGCCCCCAAGCTAGGGTTTCCGTCCACCGGCTCGTCCCTGCGTCACCGACTCCGGTAAGCGCTTCTTCTCTCTTCCTTCTTTTTGGGTTTTTCTATCTCCTTGTTCGTTTTCCCTCTATTAATCGTTCTTTTCTCTGGTTCAATGAGATGGGATCTGTGAGTTTGTGCTTGGCCGACACAGCTTGTTCAAAACTGCTCTCTTCCTTTTGTTTGTTTTTTTCTATGTATTTATTCGTTTTTCTTCTGTTATTCGTTCCTTTTTTCTGATTCAATGAGATGGGTTCTGTAATTCTGTGAGTTTGTGCTTGATCGACACACAGCTTTTTCAAACGATGTCGTGGTAATTGAGTATTGCTAGGATAGTTACAGTGTATAAATGATGTACGTGGGGGCTCGTAAGTGGTATTCGTAGCTTGGATCAGCTTGCTGGTTTATTGATCAGATGATAAGGTCATTGTATATAGATGATCAAACCCTAATCGGTGGACTTAGCTGTTGCGCGCCTATGGGTTTCTGTGTCCGGGTTTGTGCGTGCGTACAGTGTACCCAGTACAGAGCAGAAAGGAGGTGATCCATGATAGTAGAGACCATTTAAGCGGGTTAGGGTTAGTTTTTAGCTGAGGAGATATAGTGGGTCCCCATTGATATAATGCTCAAAATATAGAATCATATGCCATGGTAATTGATATGATTTGATGCCGTCTATGGAGCAGGAACACTGAGCAGTTGCAAACTTGCAATACAAGATCTGCCGGTTTTATTTTTAAGTGGGTTGAGTTGAATAGTCCCAAAACTGTATAGTTTTTGCACTGGATGATCATGTCAAGAGTTTTGTTCTAATGATACATTAAAGGAAAAATCTATGCTGCCTGAAAGACATGATATGGGAAGAGCTTTGGCCAATCAAAACCTCCCTATGAATTTTGATAAATCCCACCTGATTGGTTACCACTTTTATGATACTGGTTCATTTGTTACAAGTTTTCTGGTATCAAAGTCAAACCCTACATTAAGTTGCAGAAAAGAGTAAGTACAAACTATAGAAAGAATCTTTTCTTATAACAGTTACAACGGTAAGTAACTGTTTTTCTTAATATTCATTTTCAGAACTTGCTTTCCCTGCACTACATGGGCGTCCACATGCTTTCCTTGATAGGCTAATAGAATGCACTACAATCACAAGTATGGTGGCAATGGTAATGCCGTGGGTAGATCAATGTGATGATCAAGATGCTTTGTAGAGATAGTGTTGTTTATATTGGTTGCTACCATTGCACTAGACATTTCTTCAATCACCATATAAATTCTGAAGTTAGTTGGCAAACTGGTTTTCTTTCAAATCATCTGTGGTGGTTTGCAATGTTTTTGTTTGGTGAATTGTGGTCTTCAGTGTTGAGAAAACAGCTTTCATTTTCTTAACCCATAATTTACATGATGTCCCTGAATTATAAATGAAGTTGTTTATTATTCTTTAGTCCATAGCATGATAATGCAACACTTGCTTCAGAAAGTAATAGTAATTTGCTTCTCTTGACTTAGAATACCTGAAGCATATTTGATATTTCATGGCAAGAAAATATAGTTGGCAATTACTCACATCTCTTCATATTTTCTTCATTTTTTTTGTTTCTTTAAAGGACATGGCGAGAGAGAAACTTATACTAATATGCCAATCTGGTGGTGAGTTTGTGTCAAATAATGATGGATCCTTGCAATACAGTGGTGGGGAGGCACATGCAGTGGATGTCAATCGTGGCACCAGGTTTGATGATCTCAAATCAGAAATAGCTGAACTGTGGAATTGTGACATCAAGAAAATGTCTATCAAGTATTTTCTTCCAAGCAACAAACACACTCTAATCACTGTATCTAATGACAAGGACCTACAACGGTTGATTGATTTTTATGGGAACTCAGTAACAGCTGATGTTTATATTGTGACAAGAGAATCTGTTTCACAAGATGTATTGGACATGAATGGTAGCAGGTATTTTCTAAAAGTGATTCCTATTTCAAAACCTGATTGTTCACTTTCCATAAAATCACATATGAGGTTTTCTGCAGGACAAACCAAACAGTAGTAGCTGAATCAGCCAACCGCATTTCTTCTACTCCTGCCATAAACTTCCCTGCAACTCCTGCTGCTGCTTCACCAGTTGTCAATGCTTCACCTTCTTTCACTGCATCCCTTGCTGCTGCTGCTGCTGCTGCTGCTGCTACTCTTGTTGATGATGATAATACTAATGGTACACCTACCTCCATTGCCACTCCTGCTAACTCCACTTCAGTCATCCCTGTTGGCACTACTGATAGTTTTACTATTGCTGCTGATATAACAGCCCCCTGCTCCCCCAAAATGGTCACTACCTCCTCCAGCCCTGTACCTGCTGCCTCTGCTGATGATGCCATCTTTGAGAGTGTTGGGCAGCAAAAGCGAACTGCATCTTGGAAATTTGGTGTCAATGGTTTTTCTATTGTTTCTGTTACTGATGGTGTTGGGCAGAAAATATGCACTGTATCCCAGGACACTACTTCCAATGGTGAAGATGATGCTGGGGTGAAAAAGCTCATTACATTGTGGAAAAATGGTATCACTGGAGTTGGTCAGCAATTCAGTGGTGTCCATGAATTTCGTGATGCATTGCGTAAATACTCCATTGCACATCATTTCATGTATATCCTAAAGAAGAATGAAGCTAGTCGTGCAACTGCAAAATGTAGGGCAGATGGCTGTACATGGAGGATTCATGCATCATGGGTACCAACTACACAGACATTTACAATAAAAAGGATGAACAAGACACATACATGTGGAGGGAATATTGGGAAATGTTCTCCTTCAACAAAAAATTGGTTGGCAAGTATTATAAGGGACAGGCTGCAAGATAGCCCTCACTACAAGCCCAAGGATATTGCAGATGAAATCTGTCGAGATTTTGGCATTGAGTTGAACTACTCACAGGTTTGGCGTGGAGTGGAGAATGCAAGGGCACAACTTCAGGGTTCGTATAAAGATGCATATAACCAATTGCCTTGGTTTTGTGAGAAGATAGTGGAGACAAACCCAGGTAGCATCTGTAATTTTACCACCAAGGATGACTTAAGCTTCCAACACCTTTTTCTCTCATTTCATGCCTCATTATTTGGTTTCAAAAATGGTTGTCGTCCCATCCTTTTCCTTGATTCCACACCTCTAAAATCAAAATACCAGGAGATATTGTTGATTGCTGCTGCAGTGGATGGGGAAGATAGTATGTTTCCAGTTGCTTTTGCTATAGTTGATGTTGAGAATGATGCCAGCTGGCACTGGTTTTTGGTGCAACTGAAGTCAGCTGTGTCAACATCTAGATCCATTACATTTGTTTCAGACAAAGAGAAGGGGTTAAAAAAATCTGTTAGTGAGATTTTTGAGAATGCCCACCATGGTTATAGCATCCGTCATCTCGTGGATAATTTCAAGAAAAGCTTGAAGGGTCCTTACCATGGGGATGGCAAGTCTTCTTTGGTTGGCAATCTTTTGGGTGCTGCCCATTCTCCACGACTCGATGGCTTTAGAAAGTGCATTCAGAGAATAAAAAATGTTTCTTCAGAGGCTTATGATTGGGTCATGCAGAGTGATCCGGAATGCTGGGCAAATTCTCTATTTAAGGGTGAGCAGTACAGTCAAATCAATCTAAAGATTGCAGAAACATTCAATAATTGGATAGTAGAGGTGCGTGAGTTACCAATAATACAAAAGATAGATGCAATAAGATGCAAGATGATGGAGTTGATTTATGAACGTAGGGTGGGTGCAAGTGACTGGTCTACACTGCTAATTCCATCTAAGGAAGAAAGACTTAAAGAAGAGATATCAAAAATTGATAACTTTAAAGTCTTATTTTCATCTGATACCATGTTTGAAGTTCATGACAATTCTATTAATGTTGTTAACATTGATCAGTGGGACTGTAGTTGCCAGGGGTGGAGAATGACTGGATTGCCTTGCCGCCATGCTATCGCTGTATTTAATTGCATTGGCAGGAATCTGTATGATTACTGTTCCAGATACTTCATGACTGAGAGTTTCCAGCTAACATATTCAGAGTCAATAAACCCAATGCCCAACATAGGGAAGCCTGCAAGTAAAGATTCTTCAGACAAAGACCAGGTACATCCTCCTCGAACACAGCGCCAGCCAAAACCACCACCAACCCAACCAAAAAGGAAGCGGAGCAGATCAAAGGGAAAAGTCCAAAGGCCACTCCATTGCAGCAAATGCAAGGGAGAAGGGCATAACAGGGCTTCATGCAAAGAAGCATCATAGGTCAATCAAATCTCTTCTATCAGTGCCATCCATCTTTTGCCCAAGGTTTTATATCTTGAGCCTGACAGAACATTGTACAAAAGATGTAGATTTGGGAAGTTAGTTACTCTTGACTATGTCAATTTGAATATGGCTTGTATTTCCATATGCATCATGAATATATGGGTGTACTTTTGCGTAAATTTTTGAATCCCGCACCATCCTGTGGATTTTCATGACAGTTCCTTTCTTGGGTGCAGAAGGTGAGCAAATATAATCAAATTATTCTTCTATTTTCCTTATTGTTTTGCCCATATATAACAAAATTGCAGACGTGGACAGTAAAATCAGCCCAATGAATTCTTGGTTGAACAATCTCACCATTAATTTTGCTTGTATTCGAGTGTTTCAGTGTTTGGGTAGTTTTCTTGTCTTATTATCAAATTTTCATTTTTTCCTTTCTTTTCAGTATAAAGATGAGATAACGTATTGTTTGATCTTTGGCCCAAATTGACTTATTTAGGAATGTAATGGTTTATTTATTAGATATGGCATGTTTTACAGGACATGCAGTTTCCAGAAGTACATTACGAGAACCTTATAGATATTCTTTGGGTTAACTGATCAAAATTCCTGCATATATGCTCTTGACAGAAGATGGTTCTCTATATCACACCGACTCCAATCTTTCATTGTAAGATAAAATGACAAACTTGTTTCACCAAAGATTCCAGAGACTTAAGAGAGTGGTCTGTTCTGATTTTGTTCGTTGTATGGAATCATAAATGGCGAAGCAGGACTATACTGCATGCATACAATGCCCCAGATATTAAGAGGTGTTTGTTAATGATCACAAGTATTAAAACATGTTATTATTCTCCTACTTGCTAATGAAGATCGTATTGCTCTATGACTATGTCTATGGTATGCATGGAATGAGTCCCAAGAGGGCCTAACAAAGAAATTGAGAGGATTCTTGTGAGAATGTTTATGCTGATTTTGGGATCCATTTGAGTACTGGAACAGTAGCCAGTAGGAGTACTTACCAGCGAGTATGAGGGTAGAGAGATGAACGCATGAAACCGTTTCGCGCCATACACCATATTGCCACGTGGAAAATTTTTAGGTCGAACTCCATTTATCATCACATAACCTAGACATTCTATTTTAGTGTGATGGGAACAACTGGAGGAGGAGACAGTATGGGCGGAGATACACAAGTCTACGCTACCGGTATGGAGGTCTGTCTCTGTCAGTACTGTCACGGGCTGTTACCTACGCAACCGCAATGCTCAGTGAGGGGCAGAGCTGCCTGCCTGCCTGCCTATGTGTACGAGCCTGGGGGAGTGGTTATCCATTTATGCTGGAATCGCCTACAGTTCGACTCGTATATGGAGCCAACCATGATAAACCACGTTATCTCCATGCACGTATGACATGCTTATTACGAATGTACAGCTTACTAACATGCAATTTACCCATTTTATTTAATCTTATTTTTCTAAAAAAATTAATCTTTTTTTTCCTGCTTCTTCGAAAACGGAAGTTCTGCTTACCAACCCGGTCGAATCCCATTTCTAGTGCGGTGAGATTTACATCTCTCCATTTGAGGAATGTTCAGCGACTACGATGAAGCACGAAAGGAAATGGAAGTCGAACTCGTTGCAGACGAACAAAACCTCAGTCGTCATGGTCTTACTGTCTTGCCTCGCTTGGCTCTACGTTGCTGGCCGGTGAGTTTGTTTTATCGAACTTGATTCCCTTGCCTAAAGTTTGGTCTCGATCGTACCTCGCTTGTTTTGTTATTATCTAGTTGAACAATCTTCGAACAATCAGGTTGTGGCAAGATTCAGAGAACAGAAGGTTACTGGTTAACCTTCTTCAGAAGAACTCAGGACAGGTTCTTCCCGATTATCGTTTAATAATTTCAAAATTTATTTTATGGGTTTTTCCCCACTTTTCATGTTCTTATTTAAATAATTTTCGTTGTAGCTGGCCAAGGTCCTTACGGTTAAGGATAGGCTCATGATCCTAGGATGCAAGTAAGTTTTTTTTTTTTTTTTTTTTTCCTTCAGTTTTACAAATTGCATTTTTTGGTTTCGTTGTGTTTATAAAGCTGTTCATTAACTTTATGATTTATGATTTTGTTTGAATCATTTTCAGGGATTTGTCAGGAAGGATCGTGGAAGCTGAGATGGACTTGGCGATGGCAAAGAGTCAAGGGTACCTACCTCAGGAACCAGTTGCAGCTGAGTGGGTCTGCTTCTGGAGAGAGGCTTTTGGCCGTTATTGGGGTATATACTGGATTTGGTAGCCGCTTGAAGCGGAACATGTTTAGAGGATCTTGGATGCCAAAAGGTCAGCTGGAATTCTCAACCAAGTCCCCCCTTCTTTTAATTTCGTTACTGTCTCAGACTTTTTCAAACTTTCTGTTGTTAGTGGAATTCACGTTTTGGGATATAATCTTGTTTTCATTTGCGACTTCTGATTTAAACTACTTTTCCTTTGCTGTGGTGCTTGCACATTGTAAGGGACCGTTTTTTTTTTTTTTTTGTGGAGGATCGTAGTATTTTGGTGAATATTTGTATAAAGTTCAGGTAGATGTGCTTATTCTCTCTCTCTCTCTCTCTCATACACACATGGCGCGGAGTCCACTGCCAGCATTAATTCCATTAACTTTTCTGAAATTTCAATTGTTGCTTTTCCCCATAGATCATTTAACTGAATATTTTACTTTCATATATCAGTTAAAGAAAGATTTTCTCTAATACCTTTTACCATACTTTTCTGGTTTAAATATCATGTTTCAATTTTAATTTTCCACATCATTTTATTTGCTATTTCAATTTTGACTTCTTATATCAAGTTTATTTAAGAACTTGGACAACCTGTTTTCTGTTATCTGTTTTTGGATATTCACTTTGATGGCGATTCATTGTAGGTGATGCTTTGAGAAAACTTGAGGACAGAGGAGTGGTGATACGTTTTGTAATTGGCCGGAGGTTTTCCCATAATACTTAATACTGTGCTGTTTTGGTATTACTAATTCATTACTATTTTATATAATCCTCTTCATGTATTTCTGTTCCAGTTTTATGCATTTTGGGATCTTCTTAGTGATTATCTTGCATATTGATTTGAATATTGGATATGGACAGTGTTAATCGAGGTGATAGTTTAGATCGTAATATTGATACGGAAAATCGACAGATGAAGGATTTCTTGATTCTTTAAGTTATTGAATTTCAGGGTTTTTAACAATTTAACTCTTTGGATCTTGAAAATTTGATCACATGAGGAGATGTTGGGTCATTTTATTATGGTGTTTTCTAGGGGTACAAGTCGGGTGGGTTGGGCCAGGTTTATGGTCAACCTAGGCCTGACACTAAAATTTGGGCTTAAGGCTCGAGCCCGAACCGAACCCGAGGTCAAACCCGATCTTCCCAACCCAATCCCTGCCCGCTCTTTAATGTGATGCACTTGGGTTGGGCTCAAACCTAGGTTGGTCAATGAATTCACTCTAAAGTTTTACATATATATATATATATATATGTAAATACGTATACATATATTTATGTATTTGTGTAAATATGTATGCAAAATATATATGTATATAGGTTAACTAGTAAAAGTGCACGCGCATTGCACGTGGCAATATCAAATGATGATGATGATAGTTAGCAACCAAATGACCTTACTGATTGAACCATTAACTTATTTAACCAAGAAAATGGACTATGGTTAAGACATTAATTCATTTTTTTTCTTTGTATTTTAGCCATTTGTATCTTTACTAACAATAATTCTTATTTTTCAAACATATTTTTGTTTAATATGAAGAATATATAATATTAATGCATGTTCAAATTTTGTATAAAATTTATAAAAAAATCTATATTTTTATTTTTTATTATTTAATTTATGAGATAATAAAAATTATTTATTTACCAAGAGGAAATGCAATTCCAACATATTGTTTGAATATTGGTTTTTAATATTGTGGTCTAATCAATTATATATAATATATATGTTATTTATTATTTATTTATAAATATGTTATTTATATTGCATTTTTGTAAACTTCTTATATGATGAAAATAGTTGAAAAAATACTTATAAATTTTGTTTTTCTTTATTTCAACTATTATATTTTCTTTTCCTTTTAATAATTTATTTATTTTTTAAATTAAATTGGATTGTATCATATTCGGATATCCAACATCTTGATCAAATTCTGATTCAAAGCAATATTTATGAGATCCGATCAGATCTTCGGATCGAATCGGATTCGAATATACCCTGATTCAAATCCAATCCAATTTGTTTGCATCCCTACCAAACCACTTGCCTACAATTAGACCTGTTCATGGGCCGGGCTGGGCTTTGTATATGTGTCAACAAAATACACTTAGGCCCAAGTCCGAGCCCAACCTAATCATCGGGCCTAGGTCTTGAGCCCGAGCCCAGCCAGAAATTAGAAAATAGAATTTTTTTCTTTTTTATTCAATAAAAAAGTGTTATTTATATTAAAAACCTTCAAGACTCAAAAATAATAAACATCTCACTATTACTTGGAAAAAAAGAGAAGAACAAAGAAAAAATATTGTATATATATTTTATTTATAAAATATATTTTTATTATTTAATATATAGTGTCAAGTCGGGCTCGGGCTCAGGCCAAGCTTTTTTGAGAAAGCCCAAGCCTAGCTCGAAAAAAAGTCAGGCCTGGTGCAGGCCCAAGCCCGAGCCCGCGGGGCCCATGAACAGGTCTACCTATAATGACCTAGCTAATTAAATCAATAAAGCATTTAACATGGTTAGTAGGGTCATGTGTTATACATTAATGCTCTTTTTTTATCCTATTTTTTATCCCATTTCTATCATTAATGAAAATGGTTCTCATTAATCACACTTTTTATATGATAAATATATAATATTATAAAATGTACCCAAAATTATCTACAAATTTCTACATTTTCTAGAATTTTATGTATTTTATTATTTAACAATAACACCATGTGTTGATCCATTTGACATGGATAGTTGAATCACTAACCCACCACTTGGATGGAAAAACCATTTTTTCTTTTTTTGGTTGATTTTAAATCATGTATTCCATTTACATCGTCAATAAAAGTAATTTTTATTTTCGCATTTACTTTTGCATGTGGTAGTATCAAATGATGATGATGATGATAATAATCAACAATCAAATGACCTTACTGGTTGAACCGTTAACCT